AACAGCAAAATGTCTGAGTTGCTTCAGCTGTTGCAAAATGTTAAACTGCGTAGAATTTGAGCATGGCGAGTTCCAATTAAAGTCAAGGTATTTCTTTGGGTGTTGTCTCAAGGAAAATGTTTGACTGTTGACAAGCTTATTAAGAGAGGTGGGATCATTACAAATGTATGCATTTTGTGTAAACAAAGTGATGAGAATGGTGATCACCTCTTCTTACATTGTCCGTTCACCTATGATATATAGTGTTGCTTTTTTATAAGCTCTGTGTTGTTGGCCCTCTACCTTGGCTTCATACTAACATTGTAGATCAGATGTCTTTTAACGGACTTCCTAAGGTGGGTTTGTTGATTTCTCAGATATGAAGGGCTGCGGTGCTGTGGGATATTTGGTTGGAGAGAAATATACGAGTTTTTGAGGGCTCGGTTTTGGTGGGTGATTGGGCCAAGAAGATAATACAGCATATATTATGGAGTTGGTTCTCGGTTACCAATTAAGGATTTGGCGTGTGTAAGGTGGATATGGAGATTAATGCTAGAGGCTTGATGTCACAAACGGTGGTTAAGGTGTGACATAAAGGGCGGTGTATTGTGCCTAGTTTGGGTGGCCTTAAAGTAAACTGATTTGTAGATTTTATAGGCCATGAAAGAAATAAGTTCAAATTAACTCATATAGAGTTAACCGAACTCCAAATTTTGCATGAAAACAACACCCAAACAAAAGCATAAGAGAACAAAAAAAAACGTAACAACAACAAACACCAAACATAAAACAAAAATAAATATTTAGGAATAGGAAGAAATAGAGGCCAAAATACATCTCAACTGTTTGGATAGCTCAAGGATGTATAATATTCGCATGGAATTTTTTTTTACCTTTTTTGTTAAACATTTTTTATTGTATAATTCATTATAATGTCATTTTTTTTTTCATCAAATTTGAGATATTTTCTCTCTAAAAATTTTGAGATAATTTCTCTCTAAAAATTTTCAAATAGTTTCTCTCTCTAAAATTTGATATAGTTTGTCTCTCTAACATTTAAAGATACTTTTCTCTTTAAAACTTAAAATATGATATAGTTCTCTCTCTAAACATTTTGAGATAGTTTTTCTCTTTAAAAAATTTTACATAGTTTCTCTCTCTAAAATTTGATATAGTTTCTCTCTCTAAAATTTGATATAGTTTCTCTCTCTCTCAAATTTTAAGATACTTTCTCTCTATAAAACTTTAAACTTGATATAGTTTCTCTCTCTAAAATTTAGAGACAATTTCTCTTTAAAAATTTTCCAATACAGTCTCTTTCTTAAACTTAAAATTTGATATAGTTTCCTTTTCTAAAATTTTAATACACTTTCTCTCTCTAGAACTTAAAATTTGAGATAGTTTGTCTCTCTAATTCATAGGGGTGCTTTTATGGAATTAATTGCATTTTATAAAGTGGATGTCTCTGTAGTGGGGAAATCTGGAACGAATCAATTTGGAATGGTAAAGACAATGGTACATATTTTTTAATTTTTGCTTGAAATGAGGAAAAGAATTACATGCATAAATATTTTTAAATCCCAAAATTTCGATCCAAACGTCAAAAATGTGTCATCTCAAACATTTATGAAAATATATTTCCAAGTATCCAAATATCCCAATAGTGCTTGAGATCGCAGCTACTAAAGCTTCCGTTTTCTTTTTTTTTAATGATACAAGTTTTCTCTTCTAACAGGCTATATCTCTCTTTTAAAAGTGGCAATGGTACAGGCTTGGGCCAGGCCAGCCTTGGCCCTACTGCGGCCTATGTCCCCATATGGCTAGCCCAAGCACGGTTGCAGCCTAGTTAGGGCTGGGCAACAACAAAAAAAGAAAAAAAACAAAAAAGAGCCCAGGTCTGGTGGGCTGTCCAGCCCATTGCCAGTCCTACTCTCTTTATTGGCTTTGCAGATACTTTCTAACTCCAAAAAGTCGTCTCTCGTTATAGGGGTCATTTGAATCCATAGAAAAAGTTTACCTCAAGAAATCAATTTCCTTTGAAATATATTTTGAGAAAGTATTTCTTATAAAAATAGATTACGCCTGTTTGGATGGTATGTGGATGCATAAGATTTTCTCTTTTTTTTTTTACATTTTTCACTAAATGTTTTTATTGTATTATTTATTATGATGTTATTTTTTATTAAATTTGAGATAGTTTCTCTCTCTCTAAAAATTTCGAGAGAATTTCTATCTAAAAATTTTCAAGCAGTTTCTCTCTCTAAAATTTGAATAATTTCTCTCTCTAAAATTTGTTATAGTTTCTCTCTCTAAAATTTTAAGATATTTTCTCTCCTTAAATTTAAAATTTGAGATAGTTTCTCGTTCTAAAAACTTTGAGATAGTTTCTCTCTATTTTAGGTTGTTTTCTCTCTAAAACTTTAAGATACTTTCTCTTTATAAAACTTAAAATTTGATATAATTTCTCTCTCTAAAATTTAGATACAGTTTCTCTCTCTAAAAATTTTCAAATACTTCACTATTTAAAACTTAAAAATTGATAAAGTTTCTTTTTAAAAAAATTTAGATACTTGCAATCTCTAAAACTTAAAATTTGAGATAACTTATCTCTCTAAAATTTTAAGATTCTTTCTCAAAAACTTAATATTTGAGATAGTTTCTCCCTTTAAAAATTTTGAGATATTTTCTCTCTTTAAAAAATTTTCAGTACTTTTCTCTCTAAAACTTAAAATTTAAGATAATTTCTCTCTCTAAATATTTTGAGATAGTTTCCCTCTAAAAACTTTAAGGTAGTTTCTCTCTCTAAGACTTGAAATTTAAGGTAGTTTCTCTCTTTAAAAATTTTACAATAATTTCTCTCTAAATATTTTCAAGTACTTTCTTTTTCTAAAATTTAAAATTTGAGATAGTTCTTCTCTCTAAACTTTTTGAGATAATTTCCCTCTCTAAAATTTAAAATTTAAGATGGTTCCTCTTTAAAAATTTTGAAAATTTTGGGTCCCATTCTCTCTCTAAAAATTGATAAAAATTTTCAAATACTTCTCATTATAAACTTTAAATTTGAGATAGTTTCTCTTTATATAATTTTTCAGATACTTTTTCTTTATTAAACTTAAACTTTTGATATAATTTATCTATCTAAACATTTTGGAAAATTTTGAAATAGTTTCTCTCTCTAAAAATTTTCAAGTACTTTCTCTCACTAAAACTTAAAATTTAAGATAGTTTCTCTCTCTAAGATAGTTTCTCTCTCTAAAATTTTGGAGATAGCTTCTCGCTCTATAATTTTTTAAATACTTCTCTCTCTCAAATTTGATATAATTTATTTCTTTAAAATTTTATGATATTTTCTTTCTTTAAAACTTGTAATTTGAAATAGTTTCTCTCTATAAAAACTTTGAGATAATTGCTCTATCTAAAAAAACTCTATAGTTTCTCTCTAAAATTAGAAATAGTTACTCTCTAAAATTTTAAAATATTTTCTCTCTAAAACATAAAATTTGAGATAGTTTCTCTCTCTAATATGTGGGAGTGTTTTTTGTGGAATTAATTATATTTTATAAAGTGGATGTCTCCATAACGGCAAAATATAGCTGGAAATTAATTTCGGAAGTAAAGACAATGATACAGATTTCGTTTTCATTTTTTTTTTGCTTGAAATGAAGAAAATAATTACTGGCCAAAGTACTTTTCAGTCCCAAATGTTCGATCCAAACACCAAATGTGTCATCTCCACTAAAAAATATTTCTGAAAATGTATTTCCAGGTATCCAAACGGCCCCGTGGTGTTTTGAGATCCCCGTAACTCTAGCTCACATAGAAAGGATCATTAATAAAGGAAGAATTTAAAAGGAGTTTAGGGCATAAGCAAAGCATGATAAATGGAGAAAGTAACAAATTAAATGGTTGCAGTAAATTCAATTCCATAAATTTACAGAGCAATATTTTTAGTAGTAAATTAGATAGTATTCTAAGACAAAAGCGGATAATGGATCGGTGCTTTGGAAGAAGTCCTAGAGCTGAAGGGTGGACGTCCTTCACTCTCGTCAACTAATGTTCGAGTTGTATGAAGCTTGATCTTGAAGCTGCAGGATGATGAGTGTTGTTGGGAGTGGGTTTCAAAAATACCAGCAAAGAGAGAATTGGGTAAATGGCATACAAAAAGAATGCACTACAAGTCTATAATATTTAAAATACACATGATAATTTCCCTTACCACAATATCTGACATACGTATGGACATGTTGAAGCTTAAAATACACATGATTATTCCCCTACGGCAATATCTGACATATGTATGGACAACATGTTGAGAGTATGTCATCACCTGTTCTACAGGTCAAATATCAACGCATGTCGCACGATACCATAAGAATGTTGAATTACTCATGTAACTCTACCAACTAGGTAAGTCTTACAACAAAACAAATATTGCCAAGATTTATGTTGTTAACCTCATCAATGCAGTTAATACCAGTTCGCACATTCATATTTGTATGCCTTCCTATAATTCAATGGACTCTTGAAAACCCGTGGTGGCAACTTCTAAAGACAAATTGGACTGTGGTTGAGCAATATAGTGGGCTGTGCCTACGAGAGTCGACTCCACGCTCTTCATCATCGCCCATCATTTCAATGGGCTGCGATGACCCAATGGACCAGAGTTTTGCATTGTTTACAGTTAAATTGCAGTCCCATGCATGAGGGAAAAAGGCAGTTACACTCAGTTAGGGGAGAGGCAAAGTTCGGATGGTCAGTAACATCGTCGTTGCTGATTGAAGTAATGCACAAATGGTGCTAATGGTGGATAGCTGTCTCCATGACTAGTTCATCAAATGTACTATGTTTTTCATTGTAAAAGCTCCCATTCTTCTAAGAGTCTCTAATGGTAGGAGCATGTTGGGTGTGGCACCCCTTGTTGATGGTAAAATTGATGATGGTCAAATTGGTAAGACATTATTCTCACTGAGGTCTCAAAAACCGGACATATTTCAATTGAAACTGGTGGTAGATAGCAGAGAGAGTTTTTAATGTTAACATTTGTATTGCTGAGAAAGGGAAGTACAAAGTATTGTTTCTCCAGGCGAATCCACTAGACGGGAACCCCGGTTAAAGAAGATCGAAAACCCCTATACAGTAAAAAGATATCCCCCTGGAAAACGATATACAAAAAGAGGCTTGGAAAGGCCGCATAAAATTGCCCCCCTTCAGGTGTACAACAACGAGGAAAACAAAAAAAAAGGCCCAAAAAATAAAAAGTGGTTCACTGGTAAAAAAGAATGTGGATCCAGTTTGAGCTGCCTCGCCGTGTCTTCTAGCACCCTCCTTCGCCAGCAGGTCCGCGAAGTCGTTGGACATCCGCCAGGTAGCAGAGAGAGTTCTTATTGGTTTTGTGATAATCCTATGGCTCACCTTCCATCTGTAAAAGAGTAACACTTGGTCCAAACAGGTACAGAATAGACCAAAGTCCCCAAAGCAAATGACAATCCTATACTCAGAATCGAATACCAGAACGCTCTCCAAACATGGCCGTTCTCAGCCAAGGAATAAACCTCTGCAACAAATGTCGAGACTGTGCTCATACAGCCCAAGAACCCAAGCTGTATAGCCTCTATAACAGTCTGATAATGTTCAGTTTTTTCCTGCAAAATACATGCATAATTTACCAACCCCGAAAATAAATTGCACATTTATAAGATTCAAAAATGTCAAGCTCTAGCACATTTCAGCCAAAGAAAGAGAGGTGGACTGAAACTTCTCATGCAAAACCCAGTTGAATAAAACAGGAAGTATACCATAAATCAACAGGCCCTGAAAGAAAGAGGCATAGCCCATTGGGTAATCACCATCCTTCAAAATGACGGATGGTGATAGAGAGAGTGAGACGCCTAGAATAAGGTACGCCCCATCTACTGGGTACCACTCTCTCACTTACCATTTCAATGGGCAGTTATAACACAGGATACATTTTTTTTTCACGATCCATTGAGTTATAGCATACTTCCCCGGAAGGAGAAAATGGCTACTGCTTGGCCATAAGAAACAGGTCTCAGTATCAAGAAAATCAATGACTTTCAAAACATAGCATGTTTTGGTAGGAACTTTTCTCACAATCCCAATTATTCTGGAAACCTCATAATTTAGGCAAAGAATGACTGATGAACAATGAGTGGACAACCTAAAAGACTTACAGCTATGTTCAATGTGGATAAAGACGCCATAATCCCCGAAGCAAGTACATTAGCAAGTAAAGTCCCCCATGGAATCCACATTAGGCGCTGATTAGACCCAAAGCCTCTACCATTAAACCGAGTAAGAAACCATCGAGTCCATACACCAAGTGGGCCAAACAAACAAGCCAGCCCTAGTTTCTTGGACCTTTGGCAAGTAAGGAAAATGCTTAGCCCCAATACCAAGGCCAACATGACCAGGACAATGCCAAAGGAGACCATCTTATCCCTACAGCTCTTAACCCGACATTTCCCATCAAAGCAAGAAGTTTCGTAATGGCCTTCATGGTCCATGAATTGCCTTAATTTCTTTCCAGTCTCTATGCCAGACCTTATTGCACCAATCGTGATCCACAAGCCTGTTAGTCAATCATAAAACAAATATCACAATAAGTTTTATCATCAAAATTCACTGGGAGGCAAAATAATTCTACTTTGTTCTAAGTTTCATCCTTGATCAGTTAAGCATGTGATGGTAGTTTCCAATCTTAACCTAAACGGACTATAAAATATGTACCTCCCCATCTACTGCAGATAAAAGCACTCTTCATCCACCACAATATTATAGAGAGAAAATGTATATCTAGATGGTTTCAAGTGGATATCTCTTTTAACTTTGCATCAGTCGCAGAAAATAAATATGAATTTCTTTCTCGTTTTCAACTGGTTACCTATTGGAAGGCCCAAAAGGCCAAACACCCATCGCCCCTGGGTTGTTAAAGTGAGCATTTTCTGGATCCAACTGCTGAAGGTGGTGAGGCTTCCCAGGAACCCCGTAGTAAGCCCGAGGGCTAACTCCTCCGAGAATTCCAAGATGGTGGGTTTAAACACAAACCCAAACCATCCCATAAGGAAAGATCCAAGTATATTAGCTGGGAAGTCACTATAAAATAGAGGAGAATGATCATCTGTAAACCCTGCAACATCGGGCCCAAATACCACTTGCAAACCATACCTCAATAGTACCTGAAAATTGAAAAACATTAATAAATTCTATCATGGTTCCTTAGAGGGACACAATTGAATAGAACTTCAGGATAGCAGAATGTGAAATTCCTTGCATACATGCTTCACACTTTCTAGGTGCAGGAGCGCACATCGTATTAGTTCAAACTTATAAGACACAAGACGGAACTCGGAAACATCTCCCTTTACTCTAGATTAAGCCAGAGAAAAAGAGAGAGCCCTCAACAGGAATCATTGCAACCTTTCTAGAAGCAAGGAGAAGGACAGATAAAACCAAAAGGGATGCTACTGACCCACGACCTTGAAAACTAAACAAAAGTCTCTCTTTCTCATCCTAGATTCACGCCTTGAATAAAGTCATGTTAGAACAATGCAGAAAACATATGCTAATATATAATCTTATAACTAATAAAATCTCCTGAGATCTAATAAATACGCCATTTTTTCTTACTATTGATGATAGCAATGATCATTGAATAGAAAGCAAACATTTGTTTTTACAGGTTCTGAACTAATTGTACAATTATGGTTGGTAAAGTGTTATATGCGTCGGGGGATGCATTCTTACCTTTGCATCCCCCAAGGCATAAACCATCCATCTCAAAGATGGATGTAAATGGTGGTTCATCAAAAAAAGGTTTATAACCAATGTTCCAAATATTTCCATCAAAATTTATTATTTTTATTTTTCAAAATTTATTTATTTTTACATATTAATGATCTCCATTTTAGAGATTATAAACCCCTTTAAAATCAAGGCCAAAATCCGATTGGGCGCATTTCTACATGAGTCCGGGGACCCATAGAAACCATGCCCATTATGGTTTACAATCTGTACAAATACAAGCTACATACAGGAAAAGAACATTCAACACTATGTTTCGATATTAACGTTAAATGTATCTAGATGCAAGGTTAGACAAAACGGATCAGTGAACCAGATCAGCCACCCCAAAAACCATGCCGAATCGATGGAACAGCAACGTTGATCGAAAAATAGGCCGGATCGGCAAAAGCCAGCATTGAAAAAAACTCAAAAAATCACTATAATTGCTTAAAAATCTAGGTTTTTAGGTTTCCATGAAAATAATGGTATTGCATTCTAATTTTTCAGTATTTTACACAATATATAAATACTAAGAGGTTGTCTCATGTCTGAGTGTTTGTTATCCATTATATTCATTTTATGGTCAAAATAAGATTTAAATACAGCTCATTGCAATAAAATTGATATCTCTAACTCAAATATTTATTAAAAAAAAAAAAGAATTCTAGAATAGTTTTGAACCTTTTTTATTTGATAGAGAGAAGAAAAAAAAACTATGACCTCACAATGAGCTATTGTGTTTTTATTAAAACAAAATAGAAATCAAGGAAAAAGCTATGGCCCTCCATTCTACTTTCTTATCCACATGCTTTCGCTACTCTAAAGTTTTTCCTTTTTTTTTTTTCTTTTGACAGTTTTTTTTTAATTTAAGAGTGATTCTTCTAGCTAATAAATCTGACCCCCAAAAAAACTGAGTCAATAAATAAAGATAAAATAAGAAAAAAGAATCTAACATGAAGGTATTTCCAACAAAAATCAAATACATAAAAGAATCTAGCATTAAGGTAGTCCCAACAAGTAAAAATCACCAAGCCAAAAATATTTATTATAAGTATTAGGAAAAAGTGTATTAAGGTATTCCTTCTCAAAACATTCTTTGAACATGAATTGTTTGGACTTTTAGGGATCATATGAGATTTCTATTTTAACATGTGATCATATGAGATTTCTATTTTAACATGTAACATGTGGCTCACATATGCCTTTTTTTTCCTAAATCAAGAAATACAAGGGTTAAAGAGCGTGGTTTAAAAAGGGGCGACAGAAAAGAGGCGTGGCGTGGAGTAAAAAAGCGGGAGCAATCGTCCCACATTAAAGAGTTAAAGGCGTAAGACTCTCCATAAAGAGCTCGAGGCTCGCACAAGCTCCTAGCTTTCCCACTTGCACAACACACTTACTAAGGCATGCATGAAAGGCATGCATGAGATGTAGCCAGCTAATGGTTGTGGCCCACTTTACAAATAAAAAATATGGGGTGGGCCACCACCCCTCTTTTTAAACAAAAATTCAAAGATGCACATACAAAAATCCCCTCTTTCAAACCGTATTCAATGCACATACAAAAATTCCTCCCACCCTAAACCGGTGCAGGATAGAACAGGCTAGTTCTAATCTGAAAGAACTGGCCTATTCTTGACAAAACAAGCAAGAGGCAGCCGGTTCAAGGAGGGACCTGACTGGCTCCCAATATATGACAAGAACTGGACCGGCTTCAACGATTTACGATCTGGTTGTTAAAACCTTGTCCATATGTGAAAGAGATGACCGACCATTTTACATTCCACCTTTGCTTTGAGAGGAAGATCTAGGTTTCCTTCCAAAAAAATTTTAATGTTGCTGGTAGTATTGGCCTCAGTGACCAGTGACCATAATTTTGGGTAGATGGTCATTTGTTCCATCCACAGAGAATGATGAATAGATTTGAAAGACGTCCAAGGAAATGGGCTTCTGTTGCCTAATTAGCACCTGCAGAGTTGGCAAACTTGGACTCTGCTCCTAAACTTTTCATGGGCCCCATAGCAAGTTAGCTCAGTCAGTCTTGAGTGGACTCATTGTTTTTTGCAAGCTAGGAGTGTTCCCCTAAAAAATACTACAAAAATGGGGGAAAACCAAAACATAAAAAGAAAACAAAATGACACTCCCATTGACTAAATTTGAAAAAGCGAGTGAGATGAGAAAGGAAAAACAAAACAAAGTTAAATTTCAAACCACCCTATTCAGTCAAAAGGTTCAATGAGTGACACGTGACACACTTATAAAGCATGTATCAACAACACAATAAGCTATACGCCCACATAAGATGCAAAGGTGGAGTATACTACACAACTTGAAGCATTACAAGAGCGTACCTACCAATGTTTTAACTATCAAACAGGTAGTTTGAACCGGTCACCCACCAATCCAAGCAAAATAGCCCGAGTCACTAAGTTGGATCGGCAGACTTGACAAAATTGAGAGAAAAAAAAAAGGAAAAAAGAAAAATATACAAAATAAGGATTGAAACCCAAATATTTGATTACATATAATAAGAAGTATAAATCAAAATCCATTCAAAAAATTAAAATTAATAAAAAAAAACACTTTGGGAAGAAAATGGTGGAAAAATTTCTTCTCTCTTGCTGTGTTTAGTCCAACAAATTAATAAGAAATGTTAGAAGACTCCAATACCAACATTTTGTATCAATTGTAGGTTATTTGGTTGAGAAATGAGAGAGAGATTGTAAGAAAGGCGGATTAAGTTTTAAGGCTAAAAAATGGTACGATGTTTTTGAAGAAATTTTGCCCAAATGTAAATTTTGATTAATTTTGATTAAATTTTGATTTTTTAAGGCTGAGGGATTGATTTGTGTGCAAATCTATCAAAATGGGGTTAGATATGGATATTAGTTGGAAAAAAATCTGAAAAATAAAACATTCTTTTTACCAGATTTTTCACACCATAAGAGGGTACCAAGAGACTTGCCCAAGCGGTGCTCCTCCTATTCCAAGTCAACTCAAGTGATTTTGAGTTCACTTAGCGATTTTTGTATCACTGGTATCTATAACACCAAAATATGAGCTAAAGGAAAATCTAAAGAAACTCGATGAATATGTTGAACTAGACACATGGGGTATTGTAAATGAGAAAATTGGAGGAGGATAATAGCACAACTGCATTCAAGCATAAAAGGTCATCTGAACTCAAAAAAGGAAACAAAAACAGAATGTAGTTTCTCTTCCTAAGGGTATGTAACGGGGATGGGAGTGCTTGATTTAGATTTACTATCCTTGTAATTCATGTGCTCTACTGTATCTAATTCTCTTTCTTATGAATAGAATAGGGAGGGACCTAGTAAAACCCCTCGCTAGCACAGTGATAGAAAAGGGTAATTAATAAGTTTAAGTTATAAAAAGCAAACGTTGATATGGGGAGGGGCACACGACTCAGCATTTTCCAATATCTAGCACATAGATGCACATAGGAATATCCTCAACACACACACACACACACACACACGCACACACAAACACACACACACGCACACACAAACACACACACGCACACACACACACACACACACACACACACATCATATAGTAACAAATATGTCTTTAACTTTGTTATATTAGTATTCCATCATATAGTTCAATCATATTATATTACATGTTCAAGATTTAAATCTTAAATTATTCACATTATACGATACCACGTAATTACTTAAGATTTTCGTTAATTTTCAATAGACCATATTATCGCGAATAACTTCATATACCATGCATACATTTATAAAATATGCACTATTCATAATTTGTTCTTTTAGGAGTATTTTATACCAAAAGTATCAATATGGCATCTTTGTATCAATTGTTGAAATTATGTCCTTTCAAGGACTTAAATTCCTTCATTTTTAATGGAAATTAATTTGAGTGGGAGTATAAGAGCGACATGACTCTAGGATCTTGGCACACTGGGACCAAGAGTCATGGAACCCCGATTAGATCACGACGAGGATTGATATATGGAAGGTATCAAAAGGGTTGAGGGCTACCTCTAAATATTCCAATGCGCCAAGATCCATTGATAAAACATGCACCATTCATAATTTGTTCTTTTAATATTATTTTGTATTAGAAGCATCAGTATGGCATCTTTGTATCAATTGTTGGAATTATGTCCTTTCAAGGCCTTAAATTCTTTCATTTTCAATGGCTCTTAACTTGAGAGGGAGTATAAAGCGACATGACTCTAGGATCTTGCGCATTGGGACCAAGACTCATGGAACCCCGATTAGGTCATGAGGAGGATTGGTATATGGAAGGTACCAAGAGGGTTGAGGGTAAGTCACGGTTTGTTGTAAAGTTTGTTTTGTCCCTTATGACTGAGTGACAGGCGGTCAGTTGTTATGTTAGTTTTGCTCGCATGAGGTTGATGACTGAAAGTTGTGTACGCGAAGGTTGGGGCCAATAGAGGACATTGACCTAAATCCCCGACTCTTAGAACCTTCTCGTGGCATGTGCATAAACAGTCGCAATGCATGGGATCTTGCTCTTCCACGGATCCACTAGATAGAGCTATGCACATGTGCCAAGGGAGAAACCTCGCACCTCGTGTGCATGTCCTCTAAGGGGTGCACCTGAAATCCACTTAACCTTGGGGATTCAGAGTCGCACATCGACTTCACTTGATAGAATAATATCTTGAGCCCTTGATTTAAAATCGTGGGTCATAAGTTTGTTAGGTCATTCCGAGAAGGTGGCTTTGGATTCTGAGTCCAGCCGAGTGGAATGCTCTATTTTGTAATACGACTCCAAAGATGCTAATTTCCGTCGTAAATGTTTTTAATCATTGACAAAATCATTTGTTCTGATGAAAAATCATTAAAATGATTTTTGTGGATTTATGAGAATTTTTCTAGATTGTTTTGGACAACAAAAACCGCTTTTAAGAATTTGAATGTAATGACAATTAAGGAGAGTCTCCGGGGACCCCCACATGGAGATGACGTGGGGGTGACGTCAACCCCATGGGGGACCCCCTTGTCATTTCATTGAAGAAAAAAATTTATATAGAGCCAAGGTTCTAAACAACAAATTAGAGCCCACCTCAAAAATTTCACTAGAAGAGGTTGTTTTGATGCCCAAATATCCTCAAATTGATCATCTCGACATCAAGATGCATGGACATGAGAAAAAAATGGATTTCAAGTTTTGGAAATAGTCGCATCTTGTAACGTATTTTTGGACCGTCAATTTTCAAGATTTTCAAGTGTTCATAAATCTGCTCGATCTTTACTATTTTAGAAGCTTTAAATTTTTTTAATTAAAGATGAAAATATATTTTAAGACTGTCACAAAGTTTTCCAGTATTAAAATCACATTTCTCGACACAATTTGAAGGTGGGCTCTAATTTGATTGCTTGGAGCCTCAGTTCTATACAACCGAACCCTTCATTTAAAGGTGTTATATGTTGAATAGTCATGTATTTTGATTTTCCATAACATGTTGAATTCTGAAAAATTGATTTGGCACATGTTAAATGCCTAAAGCAAGTGGATTTGTGCACATGTGTGGGATATTCTAGAAGAAGTATAGGGTTTGTAATACTAATCCTAACCCTAAGGGCATATAGTAATTGTACACTTAACCACTTACCTTATGTGGCATGTTCTCATTGATCCAACATGCTCTTTAATAGAGAAGGAATTTTGAAAGCCTTTTTTCTGCTAAAATTTTGGTTTAATGACCATAAGGACATACCCTCCATCATGGTTTTATCATTTATTAAAAATGTAGAGCATGGGCATTTTGATAACAAGAGAAATTGGAGTGAATTAAAGGGAGGATAAGGGTGTTTAACTCCATACCACTCATCTTGATGGCTGATGGTGGATGGTGGGCTAGGATCATGCCTCTCTTTGTAGCCTTTGGTAAATGACATGAAGGGTCATGATTCATCATCTAGAAGCATCTCATCCTTTGAGCTTTGGAAACGCTATAAACACCCCCCTTGAGTTCATTTTTACACATGAGTTTCTCTCACTAGAATTTCCCCCCAAAAGTGGCTCACCCCAATCTTTGTCCTCTCTCTTTGGCACACATAAGTCTCTCTTTCTCTCTCTAATCTCTCTTTCTCTCTCTAAACTCCATCTTCTTGTGATGAAAGAGAGCAGCCCCTTCAAGGTGAAATCGACCTCCATAAATGGTGGTCTAAGGAGCAAAGCTCATACCATGGATGAAGTAGTCATGCAGCCTTCATTATTTGAGTAAGGTTTTCAATTCTCCATTAATTTGATTGTCAATTCTCTATTGTATGTCTGCAATTACAGCAGTATCTCTTTCCTTTTTGTTGATCATTCTTTGGTCCTTTGATTCTCCATTTGATCTTTCATGATCCATGTTGTTCTTATAACTTCAGCGATGCACAAATTGAAGTAGCTTTCCATGAGTTTTCATCCATGCACAAATTGAAGTAGCTTTCCATGAGTTTTGGTCATTTGATTTTCCAATTATTTTGGACTGATTTTCTCTGAGTTTTTCAACTCATATCAATCACTTAGAACACCTTCTAGCTTCCTTGAATTGTCCATTTTTCAAAGAGAGATTGTGTCGATTTGCTATAAGCCACTATGTGAAGAAACTTGAACCAATTTTGTGATCTAAAGTGTCACCTCTCTCCCACGGTTTTTCCCACTTGCAAGGTCTTTGAATATCTTCAAAAACCTTCCATAATTGATGTATGTATCAATAGATTCTTGGCTTCCCATTTATTACATGATGAATTGGCCCGGATTTATGAGATGTCATCGTATATCACCCATTGGCACATAGGTAAGACCCAAGGAGGTAAACTGGGCACCGAGAGCTCCGAATGCCTTCCCATGGACTTGATGCACATTACACTTGAGCAATCATATGTTAATGTAATTGAGATATTGATTTTGACGTATTTTCAAATGTTCAATTGATGTATAATTTTGCATTATAAGATTGAGCGTTGCTGAATTTTCAAGAGCACACTATTCATGATCTCTCTTTATGGATAGCCTTGTTTATGTGTAAGGGACCTAAATAGAATTGAATCCTCTTTTTAAGTGCATTTTGAAGTCATTAAGTCACTGTGGTAGCAGTGACCTTGTTGTAATTTCATTTCAAGGGTTGTAATTCAAGTGTATTGTTGAAATTTTAGAGTTGTATTGTCTAGTCCTTGTGTACATTGTACTCCCTTGCATGAGATTTGGTTTCTTATACACTACCATCAATGTTGACACTGGAATTCTGCACGAAGCATCTGGGTCTCCTAGTTTACCACAACAAAAAAAGTAACATTTAGATGAGAATGTTTCTTGAAAGCATTCCAATATGAAGTACTACTTCATTAGTTATTATTGGAGAATAGAAATAAAAGATTTGGTTAGCTCTTCATGACTCTAAAGCTGTTAATAATTTGGAAACAATTGGCACAATGCAATTCTCTTTTGTATAGATGGATTCCCGCACATAGCACACACAGTGAAGGCATGTATTTGTACAAATAACAAATGACAAGCAATACGTGATAAACAGATTAAAAAACCTCAAGAACTTGCAAAACTTTTTGCTGCCTCAAAAGATTACCAAAGGTACTATGAAAACATAGCATTTCAATAAAATTGAAAATGGAGTTTGTACTCAAACTTCATCTATGCGAAAGAAAGTGCCATACCCCAAAAATACCAAAAAGAGCCAAATGGATCAATACTGACGAAAGCTTAAACATTCGAGGAACATGTTCCTGTTTTGCCTGCCACATAATAAATGTATGAATTTAAGTTGAATATTCTCTTATTCAAAAAATTGAAATCAAATTGGAAGTAGGTTTTTCATACCAGCATACCAACATATGTCAAACTTAGTAGGTATTTAAAATGATACATATACAAATTGAATAGTGCTACCTATATTAAATAGGTATTTGAACTGATACATATACAAATTGCAGTATACAGCATTCCATGAATGAAATTGGAGAGAGCATTCATGAAAGAAGCAGCGCTCAGTCTCGGAAAATCACTAAACAGCCAAAATGGAACACAAAAAAATGATGGCGCTTAAGGGTGGATCGAGCACTAGGGATGTGTTAGGAGCCCCTCGTTTAGCCAAGCCATCTGCTATGCTCAATGTTCCAAGAAATAGAGGCCTAGGACAGTGCCTGCCCAGGGGCAAAAATGCCCCCAATAGAGAGGCATTTTTGTACTTTTCCTCCTAAATAAGGGGGGAAAAGAAGGGTCCATATGTCCTAAACCCTTTTTTTTTTTACATGAGTGAAAAAACACAAGAAAAATATACATTTTTGCTTTCCAGTTTGATTGATCAGTTAATTCAGAGTTTTGAAAAATTGATGCAAACATCATCCTTTTGGTTTGGATTTGATTTTATAGATTTTTAAAGTTTATTAGAGGGCTTTTAGGAAGCATTTGAGATCAGGAAACATCTCAAATGTTGAAGATTGAAGCTCAAGAAATCTAGGCCGCCCACCCTTGTCTGGGCGGCCAGCCCCACCCCACAGGTGCATAGGCACCACCCGGCCTTTTTTGGAACTTTGGCGATGCTACTGGCCTCTTGCCAAATACAATGAAAAAGTGAGGCACTTACCAATAAAATCCTTCAACATCTCATCGAATCTTCATAAGCAAGTAGAGACCCTATTGTCCCAATTGATGGTATTTTTTGAATGCCCTTGAAAGACTAACAAGGTGCTCAATATCGAAGAGCTTGAAGCCTTGTAAGAGGGCACATAGCCATTGATTAGTTGTAATGCTGACGGGCCCCAAAAAGGATAAGATTGTGGTTCCCTTACTATCCCTGAACATTCCTCCCACACCTATGCTGCCTGGTTTCCGAATGAATGCCCATCAAAGTTTAATTTGATGGTGCCCAGTTTCTGCGGTCACCAGCACAAGGTTCAATGTTGAGAGTTCTACCACATCAGGCTATTACGTCCCTATTAGTAGGAAATACGAGGTCATGTAAGATTTGAAACCTTTAAGCTCTCTCATCCATTCAATCACCATTGTTTTGATTTCTGCTTAACATATAGGATGGTTCTCTATTTGCCTTAGAAGGTCCTGTTACATTCGATCCACACATTCCAATAAAAGCAAGGGTTGAGGCCCTTCAACATCTTACTCCTGCCTTTGGTAGTGGGGGCCAGAAATAGGTCAAAAAGAGTTGTTCGATAGTTTCCGGCGCTACCCATTCTGCCCCAAACATTTCTAAACATTGGCTCCAATGGTTCCCTACAGCAGGGGACCAGAGGAAAAGGTAGGCCACCGTCTCCTCACTATATTTGCAAAGGATGCGTAAATTGGGTATGCTAAAGCTAGGGCTTTGTTACTGGTTCAGTTTTTAGGATCTTTTTTGTACGTCCAGCCACCCAAACAGCTGGATCCTATAGGAGTCAGGAGGGAATCAAGAATGTTTGACCTCTGAGTTGGTGGAGGCCTTCATTTCTAAGAATGTGATAGAAGGATGACAAACTAGAAAAGACCAGGGACTGCAAATGAAAATGTCCCGACCAAACCAAGGCAGGATAAATCTTTGAACAGTAGAGAACGAACTCTCTAGTTTAAGCAGTTCCATGTCATTGAGATCACGTCTGAATCTTAGGGTCCACATTGGTGCCACCCAATAATTCTATAACCTCGGCAATGCCCTGCAACACCCCTATTAACTGTCTAGAACCCCATGTTGTACAACTCAAACTGAGCAGCAAACGATGCATCTCGTGTCGCATGATGACAATGAATGACTCAGATTTAGACACCACTTGAATTTATAAATTAACTTTCTAGGTCATTTTAGGGTCCAGATTTTACTTTTTTAAGCCCTACCACTAGTTTTACAAATTTTGCAATTTTACCCTCAAACCCTAGAACAATGGAGTGCTTACTAGTGTACAAACAACTAGTGGAGAGTCAAGTGAATTTTTAGTAACAATAGGTCTATATCAAGGGTCAGCATTGAGCACGTACCTCTTTGTCTTAGTTATGGACGACTTAACTAGGCACCTACAGGATGAGGTATCATGGTGCATGTTGTTCGCAAATGGCATAATTTTATCGATGAGACTCGAAACGGCGTCAACACAAAGTTAGAACTTTGGAGGGATGCTCAGAATCTAAAGGCTTTAAAATTGGCCGGACTAAGACATAGTATATGACATATAAGTTTAGTAATAATAAGTGTCGAGACGAGAAAGTAGTTAAAATTGACAACCAAGAAGTACCAAAGAGACCACACTTTCATATCTAGGGTCGATAATACAAGAAAATGGAGAGATTGAAGAAGATGTCGCACAGAGAATTAAAAATGGGTTAAGTGGAGACGTGCAACCGGAATTTTATGTGATCACCGGATACCAATGAAGTTGAAGGGCAAGTTCTATTGGACAGCTGTTAGACTAGCTTTTCTCTATGGAGAGGAATGTTGGGTGGACGAAAAACAATATACCCATAAAATGAGTGAAGTGGAGATGAGGATGTCGAGATAGATGAGTGGAAAGACAAAAAGAGATAGAATTCAAAATTAATCCATTCAAGAAAATTTAAGTGTGGCACCAATAGGCAATAAGATGAGAGAGAGTAAAGTTAGGTGAGCAGGCCATGTGTGACACAAACCTAGTGCAACATCTATTAGGAGGTACGAATTAGTTCAAGTAGAAAGCTCAAAAAGGGCAACGGGTAGACTCAAATGGTCGTGGTTGGAAGTAGTCTGAAAAGATATGGTATCTTATAGCCTCACTAAGGGTATGGCCCTTAATAGAGCAGAATGGCAAACCAAGATTCGTATAGCCAACCTCAATAATTTGGGAAAGGGCTATAATGATGATGATGATGACCCTCAAACCCTAGAAAGTCTAAGACTCGGAATTCTAACTCTACTCTAAGACTCGAAATTCTAACTCTAGATCTCTTAAACCCTAAGAAACCTCTAGATCTCTGAAATCCTGAGACATTCCTGAAACTCTAGCAAGTTCTAACCTAACATTTCAAGACCACAAACTACCCTAGTGTTTATTCTAAACCATGGTGTACCCTTAAGATGGACCATGCACTCTCATAGGCACTTTTGCTTCTAAGACCCTCTCAAATCATTGGGAAGACACTAAAATGAGGGTCTCCGGCTCAAGCAACCTTCAAAGACTAAGGGAATGGTCGCCACGCACTGAAATTGTCTTATCCAAGCCCAAACCCAGGTATCAGGTATGGGAGCCCAGCTACCACCAAGTCGGTGACTTTTTCGCATTTTCTTTGGCATTGTTTTTATTTGCATGTTGAGGATATCTCTTCTTTACTTCTAAGCTGTTTTCAAACTTTCATTTTAGTTTTCTAAGTGTATTTTAACTTCTTTATGGTTTAGGCTAGCCAAGATGGTCAGTGGCCCATAGGAAAGGACCCTTGTTGATCAACTTCTCTCGGACCTTGATTTGACCAAACCTAAATTTTACCGTTTCTTTAGTTTGATTTAGTTTAGGTGCAAATCAAGGTAGAGGAAATTTCATCTTGACTTTGCATGTAAATAGTCTAGTACCCACCATGGGGCCTATCAAGTTACTCAACCGCCAAAACATCTAAACACAACCCTTGGAATCACATTCTGAAAAGGCAAATTTCATCCTCATAAGCCCAAAACCAGAGGCCCCAAGAAAGTCCTAGCTCAAGAAGAGCCCAAAGGCATATTACAAGTTTGCAACATGAGTTGCATCAGTCACATCACTGTTATATTTTGGTACTTAGTCTTACATGAAGTCAAAAACTAGCAACCTGGTCTAGTCACATGCGATGCAAGTAGTGTCACAGTTTCTCCTCTTCCTGGAATACTCCTCAAGAATCTTTTTTTTTCCTCCGACTCTCCTCAAGTTGCATACGACTCAAGATGTGTCACAGTGCTCCTCTTGCATACGACTCTCTAGGAGCACATCGTTGCTAGTATGACCACATAGTGGCTCATAGGGGTTATAGCTCGGTCCAAAGACGGTATGGGCATAACAAAAACGTCAATCACCTTTCAATCGTTTGCCATGCAAGGATACCCCCATCTTTGACCCTGCCCTTAGAGACTTAAGTCAATTTTCAATAATTTTATTGTTGTTTATTCCTAAATAGCACCTAATGCCTTCCAACCAAGCCAGGGCATTGTTCGGTTTGATGCCAAACCCACAACCACGTCTTGGCCAAGGTCAAGGAATCTAACCACCAATCCAGAAGGCACTACAGCAATTCCCTTTTAAGCTATGAGACCATAGCCAGTAAGTTAAATCCTGGCCAAGTTAGAAAAATAGTTAGACACCCCAGCAGCCCAACCTATATGTAGGTAGCCTCTTCAACTACTGCCTTCAGCTAAGGCCACCCTGGATGATAAGGGTACTAGACAACAGCCAATTTCCACAACTTGGGAATTGCACCCTAACCTTGCCCACATGGTAAGGCAAGGTAGAGATCTAAGCCCTTTATGACCATGAGCTAGTCAACTCAAATTAGGTTGACGTTGAACACCAAACACAACCAACCATCCAAACATAGAACCACCAATTAGGAATAAGGCCTCCAATAGAGCCTCTAGTTGTAGGTTTAGTCAACCATCAAGTCATAGGGCTTTACCACTTCCAACAAAATAACCCCATTGCAGGAGGTCGCCTCACGACGGATTTGGTCAATTCCCTCATCGAGGACTGAGGTAAACGGCCGGACCTAGGTTTGACATCTAGCTCATCCACATTCAGCACTCACGGTCACCCAGTGG